CCCCCGACACGCTGCTATACGAGGGAGAGCGCGCGCCACCGGGGGTGGCAGCGCGCGGTGGCAGCAGCTCGACGAGGGCGGGCGCGACGAGAGAGGGTGCCGCGCGGCGGAAGCGGACGCGAGAGAGGAGGGTGGCGCATGCCAGTTGTGCCCTCGCCGCGCTACGAGTCGGGCAACCCCCGGAAAATTCTCTCTCGCCGGGACAGCCCGGTGATCGCGCGCGCGACGACGACGTCGAGAGAGCCGTCCAGCGGATCCAGCGCGACTTCGGATCACCGCTGGGGTGCCGGCGGCCCTCCGTCGCTCGCTCGCCCGGGCGCGTCGCGACGCGCGCGGAGCGACAGTGATAAAACGTCCCGTATATCGATGGCAATCATGGTCGCGTTTTCCCCCTGTCGCTTCCGGCGCGTCCTCTCGTGACCTCGGTCAAGGCGATCGACGGCTGCCGTCTGTCTCGGGCGGACTGTTTCTCTCCCTCTCTCCCACGTCGACGTCGCGGAAGTGGTGTGTGGGCTTTGGGCGAGCGTCGACCGCGACGCGTCGCGCCGCGCGGACGTCGCCCCGCGCCAGCCGGCACGTGATCGGTCGCCCCGGCAGAATCGTCCTACACGCGTGTGCGCTCTCCGTGGACGGGATTCTCCGCGGATCGCGGAGTTCCGGTGGTTCAGCTTCCGGCGCGACCACACGAAGACGGAGGTTCGTCGAAGGAGACACGCGCGGGGAGTCCCTCTCCGTGCAACCGTGGCGTTTAGTCCGCTCGCGATTACACCGTCGATACGCCTGATACGCGGTTGATTTAGGCGCCAAGTCCGCCGCTGTCCGGTGGTCGCGGGCAAATGCCCAAATCGCATGCTGTCTCGGTGTTAGGCGGGCGTGAGCGCGTGGAATCGGATGACCTCGCTTAGCGTTAAAACGCACGGGCGATAACGTGCGCTCTAACGCCGTGCCGCGAACAAGCGCCCGCTTGTCGGGATTTCCCGCTATCGGGCTACTATGATCTCTGAGAAGATCAATCCGCATCACACGCTTGGACCATCCGTCTGCTGCTGCTGCGAATGTATCCGGGTCCTGCGAACTTTACGTCTTTATGCGGAGTGTCTTTGCTGCGCCGAGAAGCGAGGGGAAACGAGCCGTTACACCAGAGATCGTTACGCGTAATAACATCTTTTGACGTATCGGACAAATTGCACGCGAACCTGCTTCGTCACTCGGCGGGAATCTCTCTCGAGAAATTCGCGAGCACATCGTGCACTCCCCTCTAGTCGCCGTCGTACGAAATTTCTCACGAGCCTTTGTGAACGCGAGAGAGAGAGAGAGAGAGAGAGAGAGAGAGAGAGAGAGAGAAAGAGAGAAAGAGAGAGGGAGAGAGAAAGAAAGAAAGAGAGTGTGAGAGAGCATAACCCAGCTTCGATTTTCGCTTCGGCGCCGCGAAGTTCACGCGACGGGGCAATGTACTCTCGCTCGCTCGCGTTCACAGAGTCCTTCGACAAGGGTTGATCGCGGAAGGCCAAGGGCGGTGCGAACGGACTCGGGGGAATTCACGAACCATCGCTGTTGCCACCGCCGCGGAAATGAGGGGGCGCGATATTCAGCTAATTCGTCGTCGCCACGCGCGCCCGGAGATTCGCGAAAAATATCGAGGACTAACCGTCCGTTCTCTTCCTCTCCCGCACCCCTCCATCCATCTACCCACATCCAGCCTCCCTCTCAGCCTCCCTCGTTGCTTCCGTCGGACGCCACGCGTTTATTTACCCGACGACGACGACCGGTCGTCATCGTCGGCGGGAACGATCGGAGTATTTTCGTCTCCCGCGGTTAACTCGAGGAACGAGGGTGAAGAAGAGAGACAACGTGGCGTGAGAGGCCGGCGTTGAGAGAGCGAGGGCGAGGACAATGGGGATGAGGCGCGGGAGAGAGTCGAAGTCGCCGCGTTACGCTCGGCTAATGCGTTTTATCCGTAAAATGCATCTCGCGAAACGCGCGCCCCATTGTTTCCGCATTCGCGTCGAATCGATTCGACGTCGTCGGTCGATTTCGCCGGAAGCTTCCTGCTCTTTTCTCTTTTTCTCTTTTCCTTTCTCTCACACACACAGACACTCGCATACGAGCACACGGTCGTCTGCGGATTCGGCAATTCGCGCCAAGCTGTCGGATTCATGCGGCGCGTGTTCTCCGATTGATGCTTCAATTGAAGCTTCTGAACGGTGTCGCATGTTCGAAACGTCGTGGTCGGTGCGGGGGCGGCGAAAGGACGAGAGACAAAAACGGGCCGGGGGTGTACTCAGTTGAAAATAGGGTGGAAACCGATGCGGAAGCGCTTTACCTTCGGAGGCCGCTGCTCCTTTTTATCCCTCGGGGGGTGAGAAAGAGAGTTACGCGTTTAATCACTTAGCATCGACATCCCTCGATCGCCGCGCGCGCGAAAACAATTCCTCGTGGACGTTGGTGAGTCCGAATCATTCTCTCGTCTCTCGTCTCGTTATTTACAAGCTCTTTTTATTCCGTAAATTAATAACGCCCGTGGAAAACATCGCCCACTTTGATATTAAGCTTGGCGCGATACGCAGCCGTCTTTTTAAAGATTATCCGAAAGGTTAAAGAGAGCTTACGCGGACAGCCTATTAAAAAATCAGCGCGATTTAAACGATGCGGCTTGCGCTCCCGCGAGCGCAAATAATTGGACAATTTATACGCCGGGAAAATTTATATTTTGCAACGGCAGAGGGAAAAAAGAGGAGGCGAGGCGAGACAAATAGAGAAGGAGAGAGAGAGACGCCTCTCTCGCTTCTTGCGCGACGAGACAATGAACAACCTTTTGATAGAAGCGGCGTGGTTACTAAGAGCGTGGTAGCGCTGCAACTTGCAACCTGATTATTCATGTATTCGACTAGCAACTCCGACAACTCCGTTTTCGATGCGCGCCCTACATGTTGTCGAATATATTACATCGCTCGCAGAGGAGATAATGTGACGGAGAGCTCGCGCTTGCCTCTTCTTTTTGCTCGTAACAACCTTCGTTGCATTACCGCCGCTGTTACATCATCGAATGAAGCGTGCGAAATTGAATATTTCATTTTTTCTACAGGAATTTTCCTTCGTGTCCCTCGTCTCTCCTTTCTTCTTCTCCCTCTCTCTTTCTCTCTGTATCTTTCTCGCGCGACACATGTTAAGATATCGTCGCATTTGTTTTCCGTGCGACTTCAAAAGAGCCGTAGGCAGTACGCAGGCAATGGATATCTCTTTCGCACCGTTGACACCCTCGGAGATACGGGAGGAAACACTTCACGTTGCATCGAGAGCCAAAGGGAGGTTTCCCAACCGTTACAGCCGGTTTCCCGTTCGAAACGGATGCGGCGAGTGAACGGGATTATGCAAAGAAATTCAGCTCGATCGCGCGATCTTCTCCCTCAATATTTTCGTAGCTTCGCTCCGCCACGTAATAACAAGGGATACTTTAATGAACTTGGACGTCGGAGTTGCTTGCGGAGTGCAGTCGCGGAGAACTTGTCAGACGGCTTTTAATATGTCTCGGTACACACATCGACCGGGGCTGTTTAAATGAGTTTATGATCGATTTATCGCTTCGGGAACCTTCCTCGTCGGAAGCGCGCATCCGCCGGAGTATTCATTTCCGGGGAAATTTAAGCGCCGTGCATACATACGCGAGAGAGAGAGAGAGAGAGAGAGAGAGAGAGAGAGAGAGAGAAAGAGAGCTGGAGAGACACACATCATGGATTTAAATCCCGCGGCGCGCGCAAACGAAGTGGCGTCGTCTCGCGGCGAGTGCCGTACGCGTGCTTCTTCCTTTTCATAAATGCATACAACCTTCGATAAACGGTGATAGACTTTGTAACGAGTTTACGCGAGTTCTCCCCAAAGTGGTTATCACCGGAATCGATGGAGCAGCAGCAGCAGCAGCTTTTCTCCCACCTCCGCTTTTAATTTGTTTCCCAATTTCTCGTCTCGACGCGCGAGAGCACCCTTTACGATGGCGACGACGTATAAATCCATTTTTATCAGGCGACACGTTCGATCGAAATATCGCCGGCGTATATCCGGCGACGACGTTCGCCTAGGAAGCGCCGCGAATATTGTTTCGGCTTTCAGGGCCGTTTTTACGGGAATAAGTGCGAGGGATCGTCGTGCACGTGCTGCGCGCGAAGTCGACCGGGATGGACGTGTACGCGCCATTTTCTCCTCGCCGGGGTTGTTTGTATTAATAAATGCGTCCCGGCCGCGACGGGCAACGACATTTCCGTCGCGACAGGCGATTTGCAATTCCGCTTTCGAATTAGCCGACTAATTGCCACGGTTTCGGGAGCGGTGGGAACGAATTTGAAGCTACCTCGGCACGCGCAACCCCGTGTAAAGAGAGCTTCACACAGCTTCACACTTTATCGTGACTACGCGTTGCTTTATCTTCTCGGTAACTCGGCGAAGGGTTAGGCTCGCCAACATGACGAAAAGTGTCGGAAGAAGCTGAACCGGAAGCAATTTCGAGGGCTTATCTCGTCGTCGTCTGCGTTCCGAGTAGAAAACCGAGTGGAAGACCGGAGCTAGTTGGTTGCTGAGCAGTAAGTTGGCAAAACTGATTATTTTTGCTGTTTTCTAATAAGTTACAGAATTAAGCAAGCAAGATTTTTAAATACGTCAAAGATGATTTTGAAATCCCTGCTTGTTTGACTGAAATCTATTAAAGAGCAATAGAAATAATCGATTTTGCTAACTTTACCCGAGAGCGAATTAGCCCCGTCTCCCCTATTTGGCATGCAGAATGGGCCGCGCGCTTTTACGGGCTGATGACAGGATTGTGTGACAGAGACATGCCAAGTCAAATGCTTCCTCTGTGAACGCGGAATTCTTGCAAGGGGGCGATGTAGGAGAAACGAAAGAAAGGGCGAAGCATAGGACGATATTCATACGCACAGAGAAATACATGCTGCATTCAAGCAAATGTCATTTCTTTCGAGAACCTCACGAGTTTATGTATCCGCAAGCATATCGCAAGTTGATCCCAAGCATCAAATTTATTCAGAATCTGCTATGAATCCTAGCAAGCATTTCAAGTCAAGCAAGTCTAGCATTTCAGCAAAAGAATATCAAGTTAAAACAGAAATTCGGTTTGCCTGTTACGTAGAATCCAGCCAACATTTTCTCCGATAAAGTTTCATAAGATTTTTATAAAGAGAATAGAATTCTTCTTTTGCGTACACGATAACGAACTTCTCTCAGATTTATGATGAATATATTTGAAGACTCTCTTATCAAGAAAGTATTCTTCGGTGATGGTATCCATTGAAAGAAGGAAAGTAAACCGAGTAATCGCCTTTCTCAGCAGTGAAATATTTTTCTGTGCGCAGTCGAACCTTACGTCCAAAATAGTCTTCAGTTTATCTTCAGATGCTTTGCAACCAATGAAATAATTCATTCAACGTCTGAAGATAAACTTGAAATGATCTTGGATATAAAATCTAACTGTGAATGTCGTTCATAGCAAAACACAGAGAGCTGATTTTTTTTGGTAAGCTAACTAACAGTTAAATCTTTCCTTCAAATTTGACAGAGACAAACATATGATTTAATTGTTAGAGAGAATTCACACCTTGACAAAAAAGCAGAAAGGCAGAAGTCAATCGCGCTGGTGGTCAGGTGATAGTCGACAGTTTCTGTTGTTCTACCAGCGCAAGTCCTGGCTGACTTTTGCCTTTCCGTTTTTTAGCTGTGAATTCTCTTTTAGCTTGCTAAATAATTGGAAAAATCGACCCAGAAAGGCCCAGAAAGGCCTCCTCTCCTTCGTTCTCCTCACCAACTGAACGAGACAAGGAAAGCATCTGACTCTCTGTTCGTCTCTCTGTAAAGAATCGTTCACAATGCGGTAGCAGTGTTACGCTTCAAAATCGTAACGCCTTCAATCTGGGAATCAATCATGTATCTGTTTTCGTCACGTAAATTTATGAAAAAATGAAAAGTCTCACCGCGATCAGTTTGACACAGCTTTTCATTTCTCACGAGTTCGCGCGAGGTAAATAGACATACGATCGATTCGCAGGCCAGTGCTACGACTTGAAAGCGCGACCGCATTGTAGACGACCCTTTACTAATGCTGACTTCATCCCTTCTACAGCGACGCGCAGTCTATTCTATATGTCAGTGGTTCCGCGACGTGACACGGAAGTTCCTCCGCTCGTGGAGAACGCGCAGGACGTTGAGACGCGCGCTTGCCGATGAGAGAAGAACGTCGCCGAGTGAAGCCACGGAGGGCTCTTTGAGCGAAAAGTTTGCTCGACTCTCTCACGGCCGTGGCCATCACCGACGAAATGTGAGGATCCCGTCGAGCGGGATCTACGATCGATCCAGCAGGACTCGCCAAAACGGCGCGAGGAAGAGGGAACGCGCGCGCACTCGTGTCTCGGTTTCTTCGATGCGGAGGGCGCGCCGTCAACATGTTCGCGTGTCTGTGGAATTTCTTCGACTGGTAAGAAGTAGCATTGCAACTGCATCCCACTTGTGTGTAAGACGCCGGCGACAGTAGCGCGAGCGAGCGAGCGCTCGCTCGAAACACAGCTGTTTCCTATTCCATCCGCTCTTTGCGAGATACATCGGTGATAAATTATTTATTATTTATGGAGCCGCGCGCGACGCATCCTGCATGTTCTTATATTTTATTCGTCGCGCGGTCAACGAACTCGTCCGTCACACAAACGAGTCATTCGTTCTTCTCTCCCGCCACCGTGAGAGGGCAACTTTCGCGCTAATTGAACTCACTCGCGTCTTTTCTAATTGAAGAGCGCGCGACTCGAAGCAAGAGAAAATCGGCCCTCTGTCTTTCACCACGGACGACATTCACAGTCAGATTTTATGACCAAGTCGTCTCGAGTTTATCCCCAGATGCTGGATAGATCACGTCGTTGGCCGCGAAGCATCTGAGGATGAACTGAAGACTATTTTGAAATGTTCGCGGCTGAAGATTATTCCACTACTGGGAGAGTTTTGCTTCTTTTAAGTAATGAGTGTTTTCGCAAGAGAATATTTTCTTAACAAAAGCCTTGAGAAATATACATACTCTTGTCAATTTGAGCGACGTTGCACCGCGACGTTGACAATGTGCGTCACGTCGGCATCTCGCTAATGTCACGTTCGCGCGCAAACGCGCCGCGACGTTATCTTTCCTTTTTTTTTTTCCCCGCAAGAACCGCTCCCTTATATCTCGTGCCGGTGCTAATCCGCGGAAGCGAGGACGAAGGAATCCCTTCGGCCGGCTGCAACTTGGCGTTGCATCATTCGCCGGGAAAACGGATTAGCGTGACGGCACGGAACGATAAATCCTTTCTCCTTCACGCCGCCCTCAATTACACTTATTAGTTTATTACTGGCAACATTTACTCGCCCACTCGTCATGCCGCCTGAGCACTCGTCCTTTTCATGAAACTCTCTCTTTCTCTCTCCCGTCTTTGTCCGCCGGTCTTTTCAGCGTGAGACGTACTCGAAAAAATTTTATTGACGCTGCAGTCCCGTTGATACCGTCATTCACCACTCCTTATCTTCATTTTACGCCCGAGATATTTCGACGTGAGCGAAGTGAAAAAGAGAGGTCGAGGGAAAAGAAGGAGAGATGAGAGAAGAAGAAGAAAATAACGAAGAAGCAGCAGCAGCACTTTCGCAGTGGAAGCACGAAAATCCACGATGCAATCGATACTGCCGGACGATTTGACAAAGTAAATCCCGCCATGCTGCGACGCCACTGCCATTTTCATCCCCTGGTTACTTCCGATCGCGCATTTCGCTTGTTTGCGTGATTATTATTTCATCGGCTGTTCTATCCGTTATTATTTCGCGAAAAAAAATGCTCCCTTCGTAGCTGCGTGATATCCGGGTCGTGCTGCAAGTGCGCAACGCAAAGGCGCCAGCCGTAGTCCATAGAAATATAAGTCACATAAATAGCATCACCGCGAAGACGATCGAACGTGGCGCTTTCGCGCCGGTACGCGAATAGTTAGAGCGCGCGTCATATTATTATTTCGTCACGCGTCGCGACGGTGTTTTTACCTTGCAGGTGGAAATATCAACTGAAAATAATTGTTTCAACGATCGCGCGCCGGAGCGATTTAGCGCGCCGAAAATGCTGCGTGCAAAAACGTCTCTCGATCTCCGCCGGTTAAAAATTGAATCCTGCCAGAGATAAAAAAATATTGAGAGATCTTTCAGCACGCGTTGTGTCGACTGTGTGCAGTGGAGAGCGCTTTAAAATTGATTCTCGCGCCGTTGTATCCATAGAGACCTCCGGTCGAATATCGCGGACGTAGTCGAGCGAATACGTTTCCTTACGTATGAATAAACTCGCCGAAGTAGCTCGGCCGAATCGCGTGGCGGAGAGCGAGCGAGCGAGCGAGAGAGAGAGAGAGAGAGAGACAGACAGACAGAGAGAGAGAGAGAGAGAGAGAGAGAGAGAGAGAGAGAGAGAGAGAGAGAGCAAGAGAGTAACTGGCAGGTTCGCGCGAATATTTTCTTTTGCCAAGGAGAATTTCTAATAAACCGAAGTCAACGTCGGCTACGCGAAGACTTGGGAAACGTGCATCTCTCTTTCATTCTCTTTCCCTCTCTCCCTTCCTCTCTCTCACATATACACACACAACATTTTCTCTATTTTCCTTCGCTTTTCTCACGACACATTCGCAGAATACACTGGCGAATCACCGCGACATCTGCATGAACTCGCGTCTCGTTGCCGACGTCGAGCTTTTGCTTCGATCGGAAGCTTTTTCATTTCGCTCGTGACCGCGCGAAATGTATGTCGTGCGCGCGATTGAAAACGGGACTCGGCGCGAGATGCGGGAATATGGACGAAAGGACATGTGGGATGCGTGCATCGCGATCGAATTGAAGGACTGTATCAATAGCTATTACCTTCTTCTCAAGCGAAATACTCAGATTCGAATTCAGGACTAGATGAAGGTTCTCCAGTTGAGTCTCGCTGTTACAGGCATAAATGTCGCGTGTATCATAGTTTAATGGAAAAGTTCGTGTCTAAGTAAAAATCCGAACATCTTACAAGCTTCAGGCGACAACTGTTTAATACGGGCCGAAGGGGTGATTGTGGCCGATAAGGGTGCCGCGGGTGAATGCGTGCGACCGGCCGTCTCTGGCGAGCCTAATTGCATTCTATTGCCGCGCTGAGAGAGAAGGAAAATGATAGATCTAACGAAAATTATCGTTATTTTCAGCCCCAACCATATTCCTCGGTTGTTCTGACACGAAAATGGTAGTAGTAACATGCATACTGAATTGTTATCACTAATGGCGAATTCGATTGGATGCATTAGTGCGCACCAGTGCACACCAAGGCCGGTTATCTTCGTTCTTCTATTTAAGATCGTCTTGAATTCGTCTCCGAATAGCCAACGAAATGATTTGCACGGGAGGTAAACTTAAAATTTAAAAAAACATAAGAGAAATTATAAATGCAGTTATAGTAATAAAAAAGCGAACTGTGTGACGGCCTGGGATGTAGCCCATCCAATCGAATTCGCCATAACGTTATAGAACCTGACAGAAAAAAGACGCCTCTCTTGATCATAATTAATAGCAGTCGTTTCTCTGTGTGTATTTATAGTTACAAATACATTTTCTTCTCAGCGCGGTAACTTTGCACCTTGCGTAAGCAGGGGTGGCGTGCAACAGCATGAAATTCACTTGGAAGAGACTCGAATGAATTAATTGAAGTAAATGAAAATAAATTCGTAGGAAGACTCGAGCAAATTGAAGAAGAGATAATTGTTAGAAGCCCCGTCCATCGTTGTTCCCGCTCGCCTCTCAGACCTGTGTCTTATGATCCCGCCCCCCCCCCTCCCCCCGCCTTCCCCATCGGGACAAGATAAAAGCGTGTTCGGCAGCAGGACTTGGCGAGAACTACTCGCGCGGCTCGACAAACGCAATTAATTTTTGTGCCTTCCCCGTCTCGTTATTTCGTTACACGAGCTCGTTCGTTGCCCGGCTCGGCTCGCCCATGCTAAGCACGTCCTGCTCGTGCGATGGGCCACCGCTATTTTCACCGGCCGGGGGTCTTTCGCCATGATTATCGATCGGCTACCTAGGTCAACGAATGTAGTGGCGAGGGATTGCCGGGAAGACTCCGCTGCAACACGTGCGTTGCGTACGGCATGCTGTAAAGCTCCATTCACACATATCATTGACATGTATGCTCCGCTGTAACGGGCCGCGTCGGTGTAGTCACGTTTGTCGCGATATTTGCGCTTCGCTGATTGTCGCACGAGTGCACGACGTCCTCGCGGCCGAACTGCCGCGATGTTGATTGAATCGACGAGAGAGGAGGGGGAGGGGGGAGGGAAAGGAAAAGAGGACTGATAAAAGAATTACCTGACGACGGTAGCGAGGGTCTATTATCGACGAATATCTTGCGCTGAAATTTGACGCACGGTCGCACGTAGGAGCGTGTGTTGTAGATGTGTATCGTGGTGCGATATCGAATATCCTTGTGAAAGAGCGGCGTCAAAATTGGTAACTTCAGCCGCGCGGATCGATCGGAACACCGCCGGTAAACGGCAATTACGTTTCTATTATATCGAGATCAGATCTCAAAAGCCCGGGCGCAGACAATTTGCAATCCTCAATGCCGCTGTTGAGCGTAATCTACGTTCTATTGTGAGGCTAAATAATGGTAAGCAGAGTTAGCGTTGCATTTCAGGATATCAACATATCTCTCGGCTCCCTACGTTCGAGACGACTTCGGAATAGTTACGCGGCCCCAATTGGAATCGGGGATATTCAATGGCGCGGATTTACGATGCGCATTACGCACCATCGGCGAAATTCGGGCGAAATGCACGGCACACGGGGAAAAATATCGCTCCGCTGCCAAGAGAAGTGATTGCTCAGTTCATTTCCCTTCTTTCGGCTTGTGGCTACCTTCAACAAAGGACATTTTCTCGATAATAGTCTTGGAATATACTCACGAGAAAAATTTTAGAAAAGTTCATTGTTGTCACGCACAGAGAAGAATTTATTTTCTTTGCAAGAATATTTTGTAGAAGAGAGCGGCCAAGCTCTCTCCACGCGTTTCTAGTCCTATTTATTCGAAATCTTAAATTATTTTTTTTATACAATTGTAGCTATTGATTTATGGGTGGATTAAAGAAAAAGTTGATTCGGCTCCTTGTATCTCGCCGCAGTCATGTTGAATTTGTGACGTTAGAAGCGAGGAACGACATACTGACGAAAGTTACGTGTCATTTCTAAATAAAGATAAATATGGACGAAAGAGCACTTGAGACTGTTTGATCATACTTGTAAAATCGTCCGATAGATTATCCCTTTCCCCCTGATAATCAACAAGTATTCGTATAATAAATAATGAAATGATGAAATAAGTCTATTTTGTCCGCGTGTCTCATTTCCCTATTTTTTACACGACTATTTATTAATCATCAAGAGGAAAAGGGATACCTTTTGGCTGGTTCC